TTGTTAATTAAGATATTATGATTAACACAGTCGAAAGCTTTGGAGAAATCACAGAAAATTGAGGCTGTAGAGTGGTGGCAGTTCAGGCTGGAGTATACATTATTGAAAAGGGGAAACATTGCATCATTAGTACATTTGAACTTCGTTGACCAGTCAGAAACAACTACTCCGAGGGCAAATACCCCTACCGGCGTTGAACTACACTGATTGGTCTGAGCTTTCGTTGGCAATAGAAATTGTTAGAAAGATTTTTACAGGTAATGACCAACGTGAATACAGGGACACTTCGTTTCGTCCTTGTTAGGACTCATCAGAAGGACATGACGTTGGTCATTACCTGTAAAAATCTTTCTAACAATTTCTATTGCCAACGAAAGCTCAGACCAATCAGTGTAGTTCAACGCCGGTAGGGGTATTTGTCCTCGGAGTAGTTGTTTCTGACTGGTCAACGAAGTTCAATTTTGCTTGGACAGGGAGCTTCAGCCTATGTCCTTCTGATGAGTCCTAACAAGGACGAAACGCGTCAAGGATTGGCACGGGAAGCCTGAGTCCACTGCTCAGTGGGCCGATTCCCAAACAGGGACCGAAGTGTCCCTGTATTCACGTTGGTCATTACCTGTAAAAATCTTTCTAACAATTAGTACATTTGTTACTTAGGAAACCGAATTGACTGGTAGTTAGAATATTATATTTAGAGAGAAATGATAGAAGCCTCTTTTTAACCAATATTTCTATGATCTTTGATAGCGTAGGAAGGAGTGCAATGGGGCGATAGTTTGAAGGTAGCTCCTTATCACCTCCCTTATGCAGTGGGATAATTATCGCCATCTTAAGACAGTTTGGAAAAGCTCCATTTAGAAACGACTTGTTGATCAGAGTAGTAAGATGTTTAAATGTGCAATCAGGAAGATTAGAGAACATTTTGAGGGTGAGTCCATCAGTCCCAGATGAAGATTTGTTTTTAATATCTTTGATTGTACTGCGTAGCTCTGGAACTACTACAGGCGTGAAGAAGAAACTGTGTAAGTTCACCTTAGCATTCGGGAGATATGAAAGTGGGTCCTGGGAAGGAGTTAAGGTATTCACGAAATTCTTAGCCACATCAACAAAGTAATCGTTAAGGATCTCAGGTGAAGTAGGAATTTTGCTAGATGAAGAAGCCTTATTCTTCAAGTCATTAACAATTGACCATGTTTCTTTTGCAACATTTTTGGAGTTTGCCAGCCTCCTATTATAATAAATGTCTTTGGCGGCTTTTATGGTTTTCTGATAGACTTTTCGGTATAATTTTACGTAATCATTGAAGAAGACGCTATCCGAGAATTTTTTTAGATGAGACAAGGATCGCATATTTTTTCCAGAAGTACGCAAGCCACTAGTGGACCATAGTTTATGCCGTTTGACTTTGATGGGTCTGAGAGGAAAGGATTTAGTTGCCAGGTCAGATAGGGTATATATGAATCTAGAGAACTCGGAGTCAACATCATCTGAGTGGACGACCCAGTCAACTGATAAGCAAAGTTGACTGAAATTTAAAAAATTTCCATCCGAAAATATTCTGCCCAATTTGCGGGAAGCACCCTTACGTAAGGAATTCAATGAGAAATTCGTTAATACTGCTTCGTGGTCAGAAAACCCTGCACTAAAAATAGAACAGTTGACCAATTCTGGATCAAAAGATGAAGCGACATAGTCAATGGTAGTAGAACTAGTTTTGGTTATTCTGGTTGAAGAGTTTACATGCATCACAATCCCAAAGGAGTCGAAAATGGACTGGAGAGATTCTTGAGCAGCGCACACACAGGAAAAATTTATATTATAGTCACCACATAAAATTATTTTGCAATTCAAGGGCAAGGAGTCAAGCAAGCTCAGCAAATTCCGACAAAACATGTGCGCGTCTGTGTCCGGTGATCGATATAAACAAACAATATAAAGGTCAAAGCCACTATGATAGACGATGGAAAATTCAAATATTTTTTCCGATAATAAATTATCAAACTTGGTTATTGCCGTAAAGACATTATTAGTGGACATTATCATAGTGCCTCCGTGAGATAAATTACTTCGATTAAATCTAGCTATTGAGGTGTAATTTTTGACAAACACAGGTTCATCCATATTTAACCAGTGTTCAGTAATGGCGATGATTTCCGGAAAATTAAGCTCTTCTAATAAAAGAAATAATTCATCTTTTTCGTGTCTTAAGGACTGAATATCAATAAGAAATACACTAAGCTTGCCATCGTCCAACCTTACAGAGGGTGCTTGATCCTCTGGTCGCGTCACCTTATCTAAAAATTTTTATTATTACGTGGAGAGCCACTAGAGAAATATTTGCTCTGACTTTCCCTAATATTCTGTAACCGGAGAAGTTTCTCGGACGAGAAGTAAGACCTGAAGGCGGAGAGATCAGCGTCAACTTCAGCCAGACCAATGCCATACGCGTTGTGGAAACGGAAATATAACTTCCGCAATGAGTCCAAGTCACTAGGAAGTCCCTCCGAAGCTAACATTAATTTGATGCTGGTGTTAGTGTGCCCATCAAAACACACGGTGGATGGTTGGTCATGGAGATAAGCCAGGAATAGCCTAAGAGCTTTAAGAATGGCAGGGTCTCTTAGTCTAGCCAATAAATATCGACCAACAGCTGTATCGGAAGCTCGCGATAATCGCACAATGGGTGGAGTCATCGGGTCCATGATTGACTCATCTTTTTTTCTACTTGTATTCATAACAATTTTTGTGCTGTCTAGTGCCAGGGACTTAGAAACAGCTATAGCCTCCCTGTCAGAACCAATCCTGATAGTTTTATCATCCTTAGTCGGGTTAATCGGGGTTGAGTCAGAGTTTAGTGGTCTACTTCGGCCCTTCGCAGTGTTGGGTTTCAAATGGTGATGAGACTGATGCTGTGGATCTACTGTAATTGCTGCCGACGGTGGCGATGCCTTTAAAAGTGTTGCAGATGAATTAGCAGTCTCTATACCCGTACCTGGAGGCCACATGCTTCTGTCCAAAAGCTGCTTTAGGTGATTTTTGTTTTGAACACCAACTTTGAAATCAGTGTGAGAGCAGTCTTTATTTTGGAGCATTGGAAAGCATCTGATAAACTCCGTGGTTCCAAGTTTTTCCTTTACAAAATGAGCAAGCTGTTTTGCTGTAAAAGGATGGGGGATTTTTGACACTACCACATAATGCCAGTTTTCTTTTAGGGCGGGATTCTGAGGTGGGGGACAGACTCGGGAATCAATGACTTGCGCAACAGGGGATGTCTCTTGACTATCGGTCTGGGTTGAAATCGACGCTGTAATTGACTCTTTTACAGGTGGCGGGCTGCTCCTAGTAGACGGTTTCTCTTTGCCTGCTAACTTTTCCAACGTGAGCGCCATTTGGTTGACACATTTCTTCAAATCTGCCATTTCCCTTGTTAACTCTTCTTTTGAAGAGTCATGTACCTGAACCTTTATAGACTCATCATGACCGTCCATGAAGATCGACGAAATGTTGCACAAGTCTCGTTTCATTTCCCTAATTGAATGGAATAGAGATTGTTGTCCACTCTCAGAGTACTCAGAATGGTGGTTGTGTATGTCATCCACTTTCTTGGATAAGTCGCTCCACCTGGAATCTTGAGCGCTTAAGGTGTCGTAGATTTCCGAAATGACCGGATGAAGTTTTTCACTGTTCTTAGTGAAGAAAAAAAAAATCGCAAAGCCGTAAGGTCTATGGTTTCCATAATATCGTACCTGGCCGACCTTAGTGGGACACCTGGTACATAATGAGTGTCAATTTGGAAACTTCCCACTCCTATTATCTCGGAGTAGAAAAATTTTCGAAAAAATCCCTGAAACACGTCAACTATAATTTGATGGGGGATGAATTTTTATGCAAAATTCACCTTGCCCCTTTCAACCCCCCAGCCCCCAGTCACTCCGTAAAAAAATTTAAATGGGGTCAAGTGATACATCATTTTGCAGGGTTTTTAATTCCATACATTTTGGTACTAAATTTTAGTCCTTAAGTTCAACTGTTTTGGAAATATTGACAGTTGAAAATTGACTTTTTTGCTACTTTGACAGGCTGTAAAACCTAAACGGGTAAGTTTAGAGGAAACCCGATCTTACATTCTAATCTTAGATTTTTATAAACTATGTTGACATTTTTGTTGCCACATGTAGAAATGCGAAATTTAAATGACTTAATGATGATTATACCTCGGATTATACCTATCCTTTATTTTTTTATAATGTAGTAAAGGACGAAAATAGTTTCTAGCTAGTGAAATGTGTAATGATTTAATAATGAGAAATTTGGCATCCTCGCGTTTTTGTTGATTTTCTGGTATGTGACGTCACAAACCAAGTTCACGTTTTCGCGCCAGTTTAAAAATTTGATTTTTTTTTCAAAAATAAGCGTTTTTTTTTGGGAAAAAAGTATACAGATAGTATTAGAATGACTAAAAGAATAATTTAAATATGTTTTTGAAAAATGTGAAAGTGGCCCATTGAAAACTCTTCAAAAGGATGCATCACTTGACCCCCCTTCCCATTTAAAATTTTCTAGGGGGTAACTCTGGGGGCTGGGGGTTGAAAGAGGAAAGGTGAATTTTGCATAAAAACTTATCCCAAATTATAGTTGATGTGTTTCAGGGATTTTTTCGAAAATTTTCCTACTCCGAGATAATAGGGGTGGGAAGTTTTCGAATTGACACCCCGTATGAAAAATTATAAATATTAATATTACATTGAAAGTTTTTAATTCATGTATTTTGAAGATGTGATTCGATAGATTCCAGGTTGCCACTAATTTATTCATGTATACCTATTTATTAGAGAAGCATGATATCAAGATCTGATAACAACAATCAACCCCTTATAGGCCTATAAGTCTTTTGATGATTCACTTATTTATTAAACTTCTTTTTTTTTCTTTGAAATTTCTTTTTCATTTTTGAATTATTCATACCGAAAAAATACATGTCATTCCGATTTTTTTTCTAGTGCAATTTCTTATTTGCAAAAACCATGAGATTGGACAGCGTGAAGAAAATCCTAATTTGGCAAAAGTGTTACCTCATCGATTACTTACGGAACCACCAAAGGCACTGCCTCACCGCAGTTTTACCCAGACAACCACACGAGGATTATTGTTTGAGGCGCAAACGTTCACCTTTACAATACTTCAGGTTTGTTGCAAACTGAACAGCAAATTTAACGAACTTCTGATTTTGTTCTATCATTCAATTGCAGGGCAGCAGTTTATACACTCATCTCGATTGAGAGAATGAAATTTTTGGTAAGACGATGGCATAGTGGAATAAGGAAATATGAAAAAGTCAACGCTAGGCATTATCAAAGTTCCATAGAGACGTTTCTTAAAGCAAATCTAGAAAACGTACCTAAATTTCATGTAGGTCAGCCTTTGAGGGTAAGTTTTGTTAAACTTTGAGTTAGTAATACATAATTATGTTAATTACATTATTTTCAGCATCATCCTACTAATCCCTTTTCCAAGAATATTATTTTGACCAGCGATCCCAGATCAGTTTCTCCCACTGTCAATCAAGAAGCTGGAATTGTAGGTACCTCTTGGTCAGGATTTTCGCCTCCGTCTAAAGAAACACGAATTGTTGGAAGTTGGAATACTAAAACAGGGTAAAAATTTCACCAATATGAAATTATTTGTTCTCTCTCTATATTTTAATCACATATCACCGCAATGTATTTATCATACATTATTTTCTGCTATTTTCTAACTTCAACCTGGTGTCATTATGTTTTTTTAGGCCTCAATCTGTAACTAGAGAAGACTCCACTCCTCTACAAGCACCTCAGCTACTTGCACAGCTACAGGAACGCGTAGACCAAATCCAAGACAGACTAAGTATACCATTTTCTACAGCTGATACTTTGCCATAGCTATCTGGACTAGAATACTAAGTTAGATTAAGTTAAAATATGTTTTATTTTTGGTAAATTTGACTTTTAGGTTTGAAAAATTATTGAAAAGATTTAGGTTTTCTAGTCAGTATTCAGTATTTTTTATTCCAATAAAATAAAGTTAATTTTATTAGTTTATATTTAATCAAAGAGGCATTGCCTGCGAGTGCCATTTTAGAATATTGACCTGTTTATTTACGTTTTTTGATTTGTTTTGTCAAAGTTGCCTTATTGAGCCAAGACTTATTATATTATATTAATGTTATAGAAGGTTTTCCTATATGATATTTGTGGAGAACAGACTTTTGTAGAATAAATCGTTTTCGTTTTTATGTAATTTGTATGATTTTAGAAGGAGATAGTATGAAGGGGTAAATGAGGGAAAGATGCAGACGAATTTTATTATTATTATATTATTATTTTTTTCTTATTTTTATTATTATAATTTAAACAACAGCAAGCGGTAGAACCACAGCTTGTAGAACCGATGGAGCAGGTGTATACATACTTTAAGTTCAGAAGATTGCTTTTTTCAACGACTTCACGAGATGTTTGTTGAGTAGTTTACACAGAATAATGGATAAATGTCCTAGACATCCAACTAAGGTCACTATCCAGTCTAACACTAACAAGTTAGTACTGGGAGCTGTGACTGTTTCTTCACTTAGTGAGTTCCATGTATAGACCACCCTATTGCACAAGAAGCTTCTTCTGAGAAGTTTTAGAACATCTTTCCTATCACGTAGGGGTAGTTCAAGGAGAATAAACTTACTAAGGAGTGCTTATCGGCCCCTTTTTGGGTAATTGCCGCCATATTGGTTTTCAACTGTTTCCAACCACTGCTGACGTCATAACAAAGTCGCCAGCTGTTTGCGCCAGCGGTTTTATAAATTTATAATTTGTCATGAAAAATATTTTATTTTGATTTTGATTAACCATTATAGCGGGTAAAGGTACCCTATGCTATGATGGAACCAGTAGCGCGATATCTGGCTAGCTTTCGTCATTCCGCCTATTTACACGTTTTCTGCATGTATGATTTAATGGAGCCCTAGGAGAATTACGCGGCGTTTTGTTTACATTTCTTTATGTAAGTATAATAACTATAAGATAATTTATTCTATACTATTTAATTGTTTTTAGGGTTTTCTCATATTATTATAACATATTCCTATTCGAGCATAAATTGTTTGTTTATGTATTATATTCTTGTAAATATTACTGTCCCATATGGCATATGGGCCTGGGCAGAAGCTAACATTTTTAGCTGTACTTACATTTTGTTTGTGGAATTAGCCATCAGGAAGCTTTGAATACTGCTTATGATAATGAAACTGTTGATGGCATAATATATCGAGCCCACACAGAAAGCAAAGAGCTCACTGACTAAGATTCAGCAGATGAGGAACGTGGTTTTGACTTATCTACTAGGCAACTTTTGTGCTAGTGCAGAAATTGTTTATTCGAATGGGAAATATATCACAGGTAGAGTAGAATTAACAATTTTTTGGGAAATCATACAATTTTAACCTTATTTTTATTTTCAGACATACCCGAGGAAATATAACGTACCACCTTGCGCTACAGGAGAATATGCTTCGGGCTGCAGCAAGTGATTTTTGAGTCAATAATGATATTAGGTATTATGGACTGCATCATTATTGAAACACTTTTCCTGAACGTAAAAAAAACGATGTGGTGGTCAAAACTGTAGCAGCCGAGAAAGAACAATGTGCTGCAAATGCAATATCGACTTATTTATTCACTGTTCTCGAAAGTTTCACACTGGGTAATAATTTTCACCCATAATGCTGCTCGTGATGATGCAGGCCAAAATTCATTATAATCTATTTCGTTTATCTGACCCGAAATGATTATATCTATACAACAGCCTAACCGGATCTTTTTCTTATATTTTTGTAAACTTTCTACAATAGGACATTGCCAAAAGGGTCTCAAGGCTGGTATGGATCTCCCTTATAATGTCTGTATTTGAATAACTTGTATGTGTAATAAATAAATAAACATTTTATAAATAACTCTTTATTTTTATTTATAAATAGGTGAAAATTAAATTAACAAAGTCAAATAACTTGACCACAAATCTGATTTTTACTCGAACTACCTATAATATAATACTGGTAATTAGGATTTAATAAACACTTTACACGTTTTGCTGTTTGCTCGGCCATTTGTATGCCTATCTGAGAAGAGTTTAATAATTGATTAAAAGTATAACTACATTCATTACTTGTATCAGTCTCACTAGAATCTTGATTTCTTTTTCTTTCGGCAAGTTTTTCAGCACCCATGGAATCTATTTTTTGGCTCGGTTTATGGATCACTATAGAAGAGGGCAAATTCTGGGATGGTACAACTGTTTTTTTCAATATCCGACCTCTACCTGTACCTCTAAGGGTGGGTATTATAAAACTACTTTGAGAGTTAACTTAAAGTTAACTTCTGGAATTACATGTAATTCAAAAAGTTAACTTTAAGTTAACTGTCAAAGCAGTTTTATAATACCCGCCCTAAGACCTGTACTCTCACCTGTAAATAATAAAAACAGTCAATATTTTCAAACAAAACATTTTAAAAATAGATAGTACTTGATAAATGCCTAGAAGCAGGCCTAAAATGAAGCTGAGGCACAAAACTATCCATTATGCTTGTTTACCTTAACACAAAATTCTTGCTTAATTGAGATGCAGAGAGTACACTTTCATGAATTTGGTGACTGGTTTGCCAATACGAAGTTTTAAAATCCAGAAGGCTTTTCTTCTCGACACTTCTTTTTCCATTTTCGTTTCCAAATAAACCCGTGGGCCTGTTTCAAGGGGAAATATGTAGAAACTCAATCCTTTGTCAGCTTTTTTTTTTAGCCCAAGACTTGCATTGAGGAACACAACAGTAATAATTAAAAGTCATGATTATATGTATCTGATATAATTTTATAATTTTAGACTTTAATTATACTAGAAACTAGTTCCATAATTTCCAGCCAGCAGCCAGATCATAACATAACCTGTGGTGCAAACAGCCTACGTCAAGACGAAAAACGCCATGATGTTTACGTCACAACTGATTTTTTGGCTAGGCGGGGTAGGGGGGGATTTGTTACACACAGGCCTTATGAGGATAAGCCATCCTTGGTAGTGTGTATCATCCTTGGGGGTAGTTAAGTTAGGTTCAACTTCAGACGGTCTTCATATGTAAGGTCTTGGGTTTCTACTGGAGTGGAAGTTTAGTAGTCCTTTGGAATCTTGCCAATGCCTCAATCTCCTTACCATAATAAGAATTCTGTGAAGTTTTACACTTCAGCTAAGTTATTTTGGGTTCGGGTCCAGGATCGTACATTAGACAATCACACAATTTATGACCACATTGGTAATTTATTTTAATCAATAGTTTTTATCACATAAACAACGAAAAAAAATGTGTCGGACAAAAATATTGGGGCATTCGACGCGTCGGACACGTTGAATATGTCAAACCACACGGCTGATTTGAACAGAATCTGCCATAAAAATATTTTACAATAACGTGGTAACCTTGTCGGACAATTTTCACGGGGCATATGCGCAGTCGGATGCGCCAAAGATGTCAATTTCCTGCAACAATTTTATTTACAACCATTTTTCCGACAAAAATAGGAGGGTCTAAGTAATTATATTCCAAATTAAAAAATCTAATTGTCGGACAAAAATATTGGGGCATATCGACAGTCTGACAAAAAATGTATTTGTCTGACAAAAATGTTGGGGCAAACATACAAGAAATTTAATTCTTATAGGCTATCGACGTTCTTTAATTATAAAGATGAGTTAATGCTTATATTACTTTATATAAACATATAAGTACCTACATATAAAGAAAAAATACATAAAATAATATCATTAAATATTATTTATTATTAAATAAATAAGGTGAAAATAATATTATTCAATAAATAAGTATTAATACTAATACATGTCAGCGTTGGACTTATATTATTAATTTTCATCGTTTGTTATTAGTTTTCATTAAAAAAAATGTATTAAAAATTTAAAGGACCAAGCGATGCGTTCGCTGAAGCACACTCGAAAATACGGCAACGCTGGTTGCTTTTGCCTTAACATTGATACGGTGACGAATCACGGAAAAACTGGGAACGTGAAAAATTGTATCAAAAAATACTTTCATGACCTAAAATGCGTGCGGAAAACTATACTTTTCCGCTCGCTCGTTTCACCGGCATCATTTGACATCAACTTTGAATTTAATCCATGATTAAAAAATCCGCTTGAATTTATAATCTTCGGTCAAATTTGAAGTTGGTGTCAAATGATAGCTTATGGAAACCTAAGATAGGAATGTAAAATCATCGGTTTTCCTCTAAAATTAATTTAGGATTTACAGTTTGTCAAAGATGCAAAAAAGTCAATTTTAAACTGTCAATACTTCAGAAACAGTTGAAGATAAGTATATGACATTGTACATGAAATATGTCTAGAATTTTCCGCAGAATCCAGAAATGTCATAATATACGGGGCTAGTCATTTAAAAAAACATAGCCTTGTGTCACCACTACTTATTGGGCCACCCTGTATACTTGAAAATAATTTAGGAATGTAGCACTCATGTTTATCTACAAGTTTTGTATTTACTTTTTTCTTCAATCTCGGTTAGTATAGGTTTTTTACGTTATATTTAGGATGACGTCATGGAACCAGCAGAGACAATGTTGTCAATGCCGCTTTTTTTTTCTTAAAATTAAAGAAAATGTCATGTTTAAATTCTGTCGAACAAACGGAAAATGGAAGTGCTGTCACTGCTGTCAGCAGATATTTGTTTGTACACTGAAAAAAGAAATCCTCTGAACCAAGAGACATTCAGCCAAAAGATTTTCGGATTTGAATTTGAATAGCATTGAATATCTTGTGCCAAGAGCTTTCGGACTTGGCTCAAATGAAATGGTTGTTATTTCAAGAGGGTAGTTTACTAATTTTTGGCCTGTATAGTTTAACCATCCTCAGCCATTTTTTCAATATTCTGATAAGATACCATGAAATGAAAAATATAAAATAAAAATGATATTGAAAAACGAATCTATTAGACTATTACATAAATAGAAAAGTATTAAATAGGGTAGAACCAATTCAAGAATGGTACCATGGTTTCATTTCGACCCGTACGAAAGCCGCTATCACGATAGCGTACCAAATTGTCTGAGTTCTGAGTGGTGGTGGGATTGTTGTTCTCGCGCCAAGAGCAAAAGACTGGAAATCTGAACGTTTTCTCTGGCGCTAAAAGACAGATCGTGCATCCGCTACCGTTCTTGTGAGAAGATCTTCCAAATGACGCGGTATTTTCCCAATAGCGTCAAGGATTTTGAATCAAAAGCTTTGGATATAAATTCAAAACTTTTATCTCTTGAATGAAATGCTAAATTCCCGCAATTTTGAAACAAGAGCTTTCGATTTTGTCTGCTGTGAAATACATCCAAGAGTCGTTT